CACTGCACTGAAGCATTCATGTTCAGTATCTTGAATAAGATTTCAACCCATGATCAGATTCAGAAGTTAGAGTACTACCCATGAGCCAGTTGCACAGAGAGTGTATGAAGATTTAAGATTTTTTAATATGTTAACAACGCACAAAGTAATTAGTTTGGGCTACCGTTTATGGAAGTTGCAGGCAGTACACCAGCACATTTTAATAAGCTGCGTGAGGAACCACTGGGGCTTCTGGGCTATGAAAATGTACAGTCTAAATTTAAAGCCATAACGTTTATCTGAAGTAACATTTTTTCAATCTGTATTTTTAAAATTTTAATTTTCAAAATCTTTTGAAATGTTTATACTTTCATTTGGAGTTTGTAACGAAAACTAAATCAATATGATCTGAAAATGTAGGCACAAAGGCACTCACCCAATGTTGCAGATCATTTCGACACCTCTGTCGCCTTTGGTTTTGAAAAGTTGTGTCTTAAAGGTGTAGAGCAAAAAGAATATAACATGAAATATGATAACTACCTCCAATACAGTTACAGTGAAGGACAGAATCATGAAACCAGGAGTTCCATGCTAATTTGGCAATCTGACTCAGGTTAAATGATTGGCTGATGTCATAAATGGAAACGTGTTGCTTCGTGAAGAATGCTGTGACCTCTAAGATTAGAAAAGGGTGAAAAGAAGAGTTTCATTTTACACCTTTCCCTGGATGATACTTGACTTCGGATTGGTGCACGCTGGTAATATGTCTTTAAAGTGAAAAGCCTTCTGCTCTGCAACACTAACAGTCCAGATCTCAATTAGAGCAAAGTGAAATAAATAAGTAAATTTTAATAGAAGAAATGTTGCGGACTTTCGCGTACAGCGACACAATACCCTGGTCCACAAAGGTTGTAGTGAGATGCAACTTGATTGGTTAGAGTGAAACAGTTGTGCCTTGCACCATGAATTTGGAATATAAGTCTAGGATTGTGGTGAAATGGTTTGTAATCACCTTCTCTGGGGAATTTTGGGTCATTTCAAAGTCAGATTGAGCTTTGCACCACAAATATACTGTTGGTGCTAAGCTGTCTTGTGATTAAGTGCAGTCTTAGGCTTGCAAATAGCTTAGAAAAATTGAGTTAAGTAACCTCTTGTGGTTTAAATACATTAATCAGTCAGAACTTTCTGTAAAACTACTTCAGTCCAGCTTAAAGCTATTGTGTATTTTTGATATGTCTGAAATATGTAGTTTTGGATTTATGTGAAATGTATTTTTGTGTTCTTAGAGCTGATTATGTTCTTACATAAAGCTGCAATCGAGATAACTGCACTAAAATTACAACCTTGTTGTGATTCCCTCGGCTATCAAATGCCACTAAATATTGAGAATTCTACAAATACGACTGTAACAGGTTTAAGATTTTCTATTTTTGTTACATTGTTGACAACTAACACCAGATGTATAATGTTTGTGGGAAAGATGAATAAACTTATTTAAATTTAATAAAACAGATCATCCTTTGTGATGGGAAAAGGAAGCATGTTTGCTGGCTGATGTTTAATGTCTGCTTTACCAGCTGTGTTCAACTTTATTGTGCATCACTGACGAAGGATTGAGTTAAGTTCAACTCCATGGTGCTAATCGCTAAGCAGCTAAATCTCTCTGACCTCTTCTGGATCTCTGTACATGAAGGTTTTGTATCTCTGGTAATCCAGATGTGTAACTAAATCTTTCATAAAATCACAATTAGGTTGACACATTTGGCTTTAAAATAAGTGAACAAAAAGGGACAACAGCACAGGTTAGAAAGCAAATGGAAACTTATTCAATTTAAGCAGAATGTTTTCTTGATTCTTTTTCTAATTCTGAGGAAAACGTTATCAACTCTAAGTCATACCTGACTCAAAACTGACTCTGTTTCTTGCTCCAGAATTTTATGTTTTAATTTCACTCATGGCGTCTACAGTATTTTGCTTGCATTTGTTGTTCCTATCACCTAACCTTCTAGCACATGTGGAGACCATCCATCACAGAAGCTGTAAGTGTGGGAGTGAAAGCAACATGCTTGTGGTGTCAGGTCAGGGTGCTAGCTTCAGAACAGAGGCAGATAGTTGAGTTAAACAGGCTCAGCCCAGTGGACCTATGAGTGGGCTCCTTGATCAAGCCTAGAAGTGATGCCATTAGCAAATTCTCAAACTCACCCCACTCTCTCAGTGGCAAAAGATCAGGAACAAGAGAGTGAAGTGCAGCTGGAGGTTGAGGTGTTTTCAATTAGTTTAATTAAGAAAAGGCTTCTAAAGTGATGAGAACATTAAAACTAAATTGTATCATGTTTTCATATAATTAACCATCAACCAAGGGCATATTTTAAGCATATTCTCCAGTGTTAATGTGTTTAGTATAAACTGATAATAAAACAGATGTATCTGCACTTGACAGATGTTGGGAGCTAACACAACGAACATTAAGGCTATATTTCTATCTCAATATCTTACAGAAATCTGCACTGTACTATCTGCATTCTATTCCGAGCTTCTCTTTGTAACCCAAGTGCCATTATCCCTTAACCTGTTAACTCTTCACCCATCAAACCCCACCCCACCACCCCCCCCCAACCCCCGCCACCACCAAACCTTTTCTCTGTACCTTCACTATATACAGACTGTTCTCTCTTGCAGGATAATGATGCAAAAAAAATTAGTATGTTTCACAAGCACTCCCTACAAATTCAAAATCACCCCTCAGGACTCAAATGCAATCCCATAGATTTTATTTGCATTTCTTCTGTTGACTCGTTTTTCACACAGAATAGTTTTGCTAAGCAGGACATGTTTGGCCATAATCCTTTGCAGTACAATTGAGTTCTGAAAATAAGCAAATAGGAAGCTTTATCTTTCCAGTTCCAGGTACCAACTGTGTGTTCACAACAGTTTCTGTTTCTATTCCAGCCTGTGTGTTTCTTTCTCCTTTTTAAAATCAAAATTTCTTCCAGAAACTTACTTTTCTCTAGCACCTTCTACAGTCTCAGGACATCCAAAGACGTACTTTATAGCCAATGAATTACTTGTTGAAGTGTAGCCACTGTTGTAATACAGGAAACACAGCAGTCAGTTTGGACACAGCAGGCTCCCACAAACAGCAATGTGATAATGACCAGATAATCTGTTATCATGATGTTTTGTTGAGAGATAAACATTGTTCATTCAGGGAGACAGCCCACTGGTAATTCAGTTCATGACTTTTGAAGGAGCAACAGTGACAGATATTGAGAAGAGTTTTGCAGATCTAGCATACTACATGTCTTGGCTCCATCTTCAAACCTGTTAATAAAAATCAGCCAGCAAAATCCTTCACGTTAACAGTAATCAAGACAAACTTTTGCGTGGGAGGAATTCATGAAAATTGATTTCTGAGCTCTGGAGCTCCAGCCAAGTGTTAAATTTCTTATAGCTCTTGAAACACAAGCTGATTTCTTTCTCATTCGTTTGCTTTCGATTCTGGAGGTGCTAGCTCATGCTGAGGTACAGCTCCACAGGAACTGGCAGCTCTTATACTCTGTAAATGAAAGCTCCCTGATCCTGAGAAGGCTGTTCTTGGGAAGTTAGCTTGTTTCTCAAGTCTTCATTTAGGTGCTCAGCCATGGCTTATTAGATAGCATGGAGTCAAAAGGTCATATCTTTAAGTTCCATTCCAGAAAGTCGAGGAGAACATTGAAGCGGACACTGCATTGCAGTCGTGAAGGTATGCTGTTTCTTTCAAATGAAGACTTGCCTGCCCTCTACTGTAGATATGCAAAATGATTCCACAGCACCATTTCAAAGAGGAGCAGGAGAGTTCTCTCTGTCTAGTCCTGGGCAATATCTATCCCTCAATTTGCATTATTAAAGCAGATCATCCAGTCATTTTCACATTGCTGTTTGTGGGAGCTTGCTGGGTGTAAATTGCTTGCCACATTTCTCAAAGACCAACAGTTACTGTGCTGCAAAAATGTGCTTTTTGGCTTCAAAGCACTTTATGATGTTGTGAGGTGGTGGAAGACATTTTTTACTTAAATTCGAGGATTTCGTTTTATTCTTCTTTACTTTGGAAAATGCCGGCAACAAAAAACTGTCATTGAAGCAAATACATTACATTTACTTTAAACGAAGAAAGATAGGATCTTGAAAGAGGAGGAATATTAAAGCGAATCAGAGATAGTAGGAACTGCAGATGCTGGAGAATCCGAGACAACAAGGTGCAGGGCTGGATGAACACAGCAGGCCAAGCAGCATCATAGGAGCAGAGAGGCTGACGTTTCGGGCCTAGACCCTTCATCAGAAAAGGGGGAGGGGAAGGGGGTTTTGAAATAAATAGGGAGAGAGTGGGAGGCGGATAGAAGAGGGATAGAGGAGAGGATAGGTGGAGAGGAAACAAACAGGTCGAAGAGGCGGGGATGGGGCCAGGAAAGGTGAGTGTAGGTAGGGAGTTAGGAAGGGGATAGGTCAGTCCAGGGAGGACGGACAGGTCAAGGGGGCGGGATGAGGTTGGTCGGTAGGAGATGGAGGTGCGGCTTGAGGTGGGAGGAGGGGATAGGTGGGAGGAAGAACAGGTTAGGGAGGCAGGGACGAGCTGGACTGGTTTTGGGATGCGGTAGGGGGAGGGGAGATTTTGAAACTTGTGAAATCCACATTGATACCATTGGGCTGCAGGGTTCCCAAGCGGAATATGAGTTGCTGTTCCTGCAACCTTCGGGTGGCATCGTTGTGGCACTGCAGGAGGCCCAGGATGGACATGTCGTCTGAGGAATGGGAGGGGGAGTTGAAATGGTTCGTGACTGGGAGGTGCAGTTGTTTGTTGCGAACCGAGCGTAGGTGTTCTGCAAAGCGGTCCCCGAGTCTCCACTTGGTTTCCCCGATGTAGAGGAAGCCACACCGGGTACAGCGGATGCAGTATACCACATTGGCAGATGTGCAGGTGAACATCTGCTTGATGTGGAAAGTCTTCTTGGGGCCTGGGATGGGGGTGAGGGAGGAGGTATGGGGGCAGGTGTAGCACTTCCTGCGGTTGCAGGGAAAAGTGCCGGATGTGGTGGAGCTGGAGGGGAGTGTGGAGCGGACAAGGGAGTCACGGAGAGAGTTGTCCCTCCGGAAAGCAGATAAAGGTGGGGAGGGAAAGATGTCTTTGGTGGTGGGGTCGGATTGCAGATGGCGGAAGTGTCGGAGGATGATGCGTTGGATCCGGAGGTTGGTGGGGTGGTACGTGAGGACGAGGGGGATTCTTTTTTGGTTTTTATTGCGTGGACGGGGTGTGAGGGATGAGGTGCGGGAGATGTGGGAGACATGGTTGAGGGCGTTCTCGACCACCGAGGAGGGGAAGTTACGGTCCTTGAAAAACGAGGACAACTGAGATGTACGGGAGTGGAATGCCTCATCCTGGGAGCAGATGCGGCGGAGGCGAAGGAATTGGGAATAGGGGATAGCATTTTTGCAGGAAGGTGGGTGGGAGGAGGAGTATTCTAGGTAGCTGTGGGAGTCGGTGGGCTTGAAATGAATATCGGTTTCTAGGTGGTTGCCCGATATGGAGACAGAGAGGTCCAGGAAGGGGAGAGAGGTGTTAGAGATGGTCCAGGTAAACTTAAGGTTGGGGTGGAAGGTGTTAGTGAAGTGTATGAACTGTTCGAGCTCCTCGTGGGAGCACGAGGCGGCGCCGATACAGTCATCAATGTAACGGAGGAAGAGGTGGGGTTTAGGGCCGGTGTAGGTACGGAAGAGGGATTGTTCCACGTAACCTACAAAGAGGCAGGCGTAGCTTGGGCCCATGCGGGTACCCATGGCTACCCCCTTTGTCTGTAGGAAGTGGGAGGAATTGAAAGAGAAGTTGTTGAGTGTGAGGACGAGTTCGGCTAAGCGGATGAGGGTGTCAGTGGAGGGGGACTGGTCGGGCCTGCGGGACAGGAAGAAGCGGAGGGCCTTAATGCCACCTGCATGGGGAATGCAGGTGTAGAGGGACTGGACGTCCATGGTAAAGATGAGGTGTTGGGGACCGGGGAATTGGAAGTTCTGGAGGAGGTGGAGGGCGTGGGTGGTGTCACGGACATAGGTAGGGAGTTCCTGGACCAAGGGGGAGAAAATGGAGTCGAGATAGTTGGAGATCAGTTCGGTGGGGCAGGAGCAGGCGGAGACAATGGGTCGACCAGGGCATTCAGGTTTGTGGATTTTGGGAAGGAGATAGAAGCGGGCAGTGCGAGGTTGGGGAACGATGAGGTTGGAGGCCGTGGGTGGGAGGTCACCTGAGGTGATGAGGTTGTGGATGGTTTGCGAGATGATGGTTTGGTGCTCAGGGGTGGGGTCTTGATCAAGGGGGCGGTAGGAGGAGGTGTCGGAGAGTTGGCGTCCGGCCTCGGCGATGTACAGGTCAGTGCGCCATACTACAACTGCACCTCCCTTGTCCGCGGGTTTTATGGTGAAGTTGGGATTGGAGCGGAGGGAGCGGAGGGCTGCAATGGGTTTTTTAATCCACTTGTGGGACTTTGGTGTCGCTGGCTGGGCCCAGCATTTATTCCCCATCCCTAGTTGCCCTTGAGAAGATGGCGGTGAGCTGCTTTCTTGAACCAATGCAGTCCATGTGCTGTTTGTAGACCCACAGTGCCCTCGGGGGGGAATTCTGGGATTTTGACTCGGCGACACTGAAGAAACAGTGATATAGTTCCAAGTCTGGATGGTGAGTGGCTTTGAGAGGAACTTGCAGATGACGGTGTTTTCAAGTATTGGCTGTTCTTGTCCTTCTAGATGGAAGTGGTCATGGGTTTGAAAGATGCTGTCTGAAGATCTCTGGTGAATTTTTGCAGCGCATTTTTGTAGATAGTACACAATGCTGCCAATGAACTTCAGTGGTGGAGGGAGTGGATATTTGTGGATGTAGTGCCAATCAAGCGGGTTGCTTTGTCCTAGATGGTGTCAAGCTTCTTGAGTGTTGTTGGAGCTGCACCCATCCAGGCAAGTGGGGAGTATTCCATCAGACTTCGGATTAGTGCCTTGTAGGTGGTGGACAGGCTTTAGAATGTCAGGAGATGAGTTATTTACTGCGGTATTGCTAGACTGTGACTGGCTGTTGTGTTCCTGATTAATGGTAACCCCAAGGATGTTGATAGTGGGGGCTTCAGTGATGGTAACACCATTGAATGTCAAGGGGCAGTGGTTAGATTGTCTCTTATTGGAGATGGTCATTTCCTGGCATTTGTGTGGCACGAATGTTACTTGCCACTTGTCAGCACAAACCTGGATATTGTCCAGATCTTGTTGCATTTGAACGCAGACTGCTTCAGTATCTGAGGAGTCACAAATGGTGCCAACCATTGTGCAATCATCGGCGAACATCCTCACTTCTGACCTTATGGTGGAAGGAAGGTCATTGATGAAGCAGCTGAAGATGTTTGGGCATAGGACAGTACCCTGAGGAACTCCTGCAGAGATGTCCTGGAGCTGAGATGACTGACCTCCGACAAACACAACCATCTCCCTATGTATCAGGGATGACTCCAACCAGTGAAGAGCTTTCCCCCTGATAACCATTGATTCCAGTTTTGCTAGGACTCCTTGATGCCACACTCAGTCAAATGTGGCCTTGATGTTGAAAGCAGGTCACTCTCACTCAGTGAGAGTGAGCAGGAAGTAGGGTTAGACTAGGTGGCTGATGTAAAATGCATATCATTGATGAGACAAATGGACAGTTCCAAGTGGCACTATTTCATGATTTATAGTTTCTGTCATAGCACACCTCCAATGTTCAACATTCTCCACTCATATACAGTGAATGCCCATTGTATTGGGGATGTTGGAGACTGTGAGACTGTTAGATATGCACTACATTAACAAACAAATTCCTATCTTATCCAACTTTTAACCAGCGAAATGAAGATTTCAATCAAGGTTTACCTCTTTTTGGAGCCATAAGACCTCCATGCAGTCAACAAATTCAACCACATAATAATGGCCTTCCAATGTAAATTACATGTGTATTGTAGCAACATCTCCAATTACATAGGATGTGTGCAGCAATACTATAAAGGAGAGTTTCCGCCAGATCCGTCCTCAAAGAATATGTCAAATGTGAGCAGGCTGCGTCAATTACTCTAATAGCTGAACAGATGTAAAGGAAAGGAATTCTTGTCCTCTGGCTAGCAAACCTCAGTGCTCTTTTGAAAATGAGTGCAGCTGAGTCTAAAAGCAGCTGGATAGAAGCCTACTCACACTTGCCAGATAAATAAGACATTACCCACTGGTCTCGGAGCCTGAGTATCCCTTCCAGCTGCCTGCACTTTCAACTTTCCTTTCAATCTAGTTGTTATTTCAGGGGTAAGTAGATCACAAACAGCCTCAACACACAGGATGGGACACAAGAGTATTCTCTCCATCAGCCCTGGTTAAGCAGCCAGCATGTACACAAGAGGCATGTTGTATATAATCTCATCAGCTGCAAACATGTCAAAACAAATTATAGGTTTATCTTACTGCCAACATGGTGAGTGTTTCTTTAAAAGGAAAGAATTTAGTTGCAAAAAAAATGCTGTAACTGGAAAACTTGCAAAAGCAATAGCAGAACTGAGAGATTATACCCATTAGTAAATGTTGAACAGGCTACAGCTCTTTTGTTTAAAATAAGTGAGGTTGAGGGTTAATCTGATCAAGGTCTTTAAGATATGGAAGGAATTAAAGATATTTCCATTTGTCGGAAATGGAGATATATAGATAATACAAATGTAAGTCAA